TTGAAAGCCGACGTTTCGACCCGACTTTGCAGGTCTTCTTCAGGGCTACGGTTACTGACTAGTCCAACTACAGCAACTGAGTACTATAGAACTTTAGTTGGACTAGTCAGTAACCGTAGCCCTGAAGAAGACCTGCAAAGTCGGGTCGAAACGTCGGCTTTCAATAAAATAGTTTTACCACTATTTAGCCTATTTATGAGCGCAACCCCGGACCATCTTCTTCCTTTATTACCAAAATGAGTTCTGTTGATGAAGAACACATAATTAATTGTCACATTATTAAAGATAATGACAAGGATTCTTAAGGGGTTTATTGTATTTAGACTTAGGATAAATTCAATTGGTAAAAAGAATTTCCCTCATATGTCTATTAAGGGGTTTATTGTATTTAGACTTAGGATAAATTCAATTGGTAAAAAGAATTTCTCTCATATGTCTATTTTTAGCAGTAAATCTGTAAATGTATATGTGCAGCATTTATAAATTGAAATTCCTTTGTAAATAAATAAATATTCTCTGTTTTATCTAATGTTTTTTATATTCCTTTGTTGATTAAAAATGTTTTCTATTTCAAGTTAATTTGGATATTTTTTCAATCAATTGATAGTTGATTGTATTTTATCCTTACAGTTTTATGTTTCACTACTAGTTATTTTTACTTGGTATATCTAATGTGATAAAATTGAAAATATATTATAGCCAACAACCTCTAATTTCCCAAAAAAGTATTGAAAAATAAATAAAACTAGGGAAAGCTTATATTCTGGACTAATGGAAAATTCAGGTGTGACAAACATTATTACAATTTATCATATTATGATTATTATTCCATTTCAATGATAACAGGTGTATTGATATTGGTAAATAGAAATTTTCAAATTATACAAAAACTAAGTTATACCACTCTGAAACAAATACTCTCCTACCACCAGGCTTAAAAGTAAAATGAACAACTTTTTCTATTTTAGATGCAGTATGCAATATCTACATTATGGTAAGAGGTAAACCATTTCATAAAAAATATTTTATATCAATGATCAGAAATGAATCTGTTGATCGAGGATCAAATTTTGAACTATTTAAATTTGTAATAATAGTGGATTTATAATAGTTGGTGTTGTCCAAAATCAGTCTTGGTCATGCACTTTGCAAGATCAAGACCGGAAAAAAAAATCCCTTTTATGTAGAAAAATTAAGGTAAAATAGTCACTAAAACTTGAAAAATTGAGTTGCCATATGTAAAGAAGTGGTATAACCAATATCATTTGGAATTTAACTCTCAATTTTTCATTTGGGCTTAGTTAGGTTTTCCGTATCTGAAAAATTACAGTAATTTCAGACGTCTCATTTCTCTATTCACTAGTTTCATTTTGCTGTGGAGCACAAAATATACTTCAGAGAATTCGTTGTTTACATTGAACAAACTTTGGATCATTATTCTTTCTATAATCTATTCTTACACCACAGAAAGAACCTTAAAAGTAAATAATGATGTTGCTTTTACAACCCTCATTTCTTAGTCTGCCTGTGTCCCTTAACAGGGGTGCCCAGAAGGGAGTTTCATGCCACAAGTTGCGCCATCAAAATTTTTAAGGAGGCACATGTTGACTGGATTTTGAATTTTTGAGTGAAAAGTTTCAAAACAGAGAATTGGGAAGAAACATGGGACATACCACTCCAGGTATAATTGTATATGATCTTGGAATTGTCTAATCTTACTTTCGCTTGCATTGCTTTTAAGAAGGGGAGTGAAATACAATTTTTGGAGAGAGGGGGATGGTTCATGCGCCATCGACCTTGGAGGGGATGGGCCCCCCTTAAATAGATGTACAGGGAAAGTTTGAACTAATTAATATATTTTACTAATTGAACTAGCGTAATGAATGAGAGAGTTGAGAAAAAATATTACGGAAAAAAGATAAGGATAATTTTGGTTATTTTTCTAGAGGGGAGGGCATACAGAAAAAATTTCAATAGAACCTCATTCATCTTCAATAATCTGCATAGACTTTAGATAAAGATATTTTTCCAATCATGTATTTCAACTTTGAAATTATTTTCATTTTTTATATCAAAAAATAATTATAGGCTAGGAAAATCTTAATCTTGGTATCATCCAATTCTCCAAACATGTTAGAACAAATGAATACATTTTCAAGAATTTAGTTCAATAAATACTACTTTACTTAGAGAAGCAAAGATGCAAACATGCTAGTTCCAGCTCAAATTTGTTTCCAAAAAAGTTCGAATCTCTTACTTTCAAATATGAAACTGCTTATTATAAGTAGGTAAAATTTGACACTTTTTTCTTATGTGTGTATTCGCTTCCTAAATATAAAATTTTCATTAAAAACTGTACTGGGTGTCCTGACCCACCCCTGTATGATATGGAAAGGAATGACCCATGGTATTTATTCCATTTAATAAAGTAGAATTTTTATTTATTAAGAAGTAAAGCACTAATTTTTAAAAATATTCTTTATAGTTTGTGTAGATTCAAGAGTTTTTCTAAATTTATGTGTTCTTGGTTAATTTTTGTAATATGGTAATTTCTAATTTCCATATTTCTTAATTCTATTAAGTTTTCTGTGAAGACTTTACACGTAAATTAAGAATACAACAATTTTTATGAATTGAAACTGTAACATAGAGGCACTGGTTGCAAAAGTGGTGTAAGTAATTTTTATAATAAATAATTAATTAAGTATTAAGTGCATTAACTGATTGGATATGCTAGAGACAGATTATTTTTAACAAATAAATTGAATTTATTTATTATTAATTTGTTGAATTTCTCCATAATATTTGATTAATTCAAAACTTCAGTTTTTTACTTACACCATTTTAGTATTCAATGGCTCATGTAGTGTACTAAAGAAAAATCCTTGTATTTAAGTGAATTTTCCTGATAAGTTTTTAAAGAGATAAATTATGATTTGTTGAAGAATTTCTTTAAATGATTGTTATGCAATGATCAAAGATCAACAATACCTCCGAGTGAGGTTGTCACCTACCTCAGCATTAAGATTCGAAAAAAGTTCGAAGTGATAGCTTATTTGGACTATTTGAAAAGTAGGGTGACCATAGCCCTTAACAGATTCAGTTGTATAGAGGGCACCTTTTGGGGTCTCAGATGCCTAGAAACTGTGAGCATTTATAAAGGTTTTATTTTGAGTAGCCCCTGCCTGGAGTCAAAATGGCTCTGCTTCAAGTCACCAGATCGTACAGGACGGTGTCCATAGTATCTCCAAGTGAAAATAGAAGAAGATCGTAGGAGTTGGAAAAGGATTATCTGGGAGGATACAGTAGAAGAGTGGAACTGGGGGTGGTTGACAACTCCAAAAGGAGCAACCCTGAGAAAGTATTTTCCCACCATCGCATCGCGACTAGAAGCAACTTGGGTCCTCCCGGACTACTACACCTCTCTCCCTTTCTGAATATCATCATTTTAAACTCTTCCCGATTAAATGTAAATTCCATTAATCACAATAGTTTTATAAATCTATAATCATAAGTTGAAGTCTATCTGCCATAAAAGCAATGAAGGCTTAAGTACACACTATCCTAATGATATGACATTCACTCCTCCTGCAACACAATCCTCTATATCATTAATGTACCCACTGAAAAGAAATATACTAACATTAAATTGGTTATTTGTGAAATGACAAATGTGCTATTTTTAAGATACAAATGTATGGATAAACAATCAATCTTTACATTAGTTATGTAATGTGTTTTCTGTTACTAAAAGATGCTTCTGCGAATAATGCACCCTGAACAGCTCTCAACTCAAAAGTGGTATAAATGTGTCATTTTTTAAAATAACCTATTCAATTATTCCCTAATAATAATAACATATTATTATGTGATATACAATTTTAATGTTTACAATAATATACATTATTCCCATACTGTATCCCAAATAATATTTCAAGGAGTTCTGTCAATCCTTATTGACTGCACTGCTTGTTTAAGGTTTAAGCTCGTTATTATTTTAACAATTTTGATTGATACTCCTGTGTTACAATTTGTAATATAATGCCTAGTAGTGAACTATATGTTTAGTTCTATAATAATTGCAGATAGCAAAATATATCAAACAAAGTATAACATGTGCCTTATTTTCTTTCTTCTGCAAATTTAAGATAATTATAATAAGTAAGATTTTAATAGAATAATATTTCCTAAATGCTGCCTATATTCTTTAACTAGTTATTGGATATTAATGAGTAAGCCAATAATTTAACTATTGGATTTTCAAACTTGATGCCCATGTAATTCATTGTGTCATTCTTATCCTCTACTTTATGAACAGGGAATATGATGGATAAATAAAAGCTATTAGGTGTTTCTCCCATTTCAAAGTCTTTATTAATAGAATTGTGTAGTTGTTTTAAGTAAAACATTGCTGTTTTTTTATTTTCAATACATTTTAACATTATTAAACTATTTATTATTTCATTTATATCTTTTAACAATGAAACTGAACAAAAGCATGAACAAAATCATTTCTGACACCAGAAATGAAATAGCAACTAACAGTTGAAGATTAAATGCAAATGAAATTAATGACTGGAAAATGATGGTGGGAGAATGGTAGGATTATCAAAAAAATATGTATGTAGAGGAACTAGGAACTGGATACTGTCAAAAATTAAGTTGAAGTGCAGGATGGTGGGTAGTCGCGGGAATTTCAAAAAGTAGGGGAAAGGAGAAGAGTAGTGGGGGCAACAACTACTAGGCGGGTAATCTAACCTAACCAGGAACTATCATAGAGGATAAGCGCCCCCACCCCAGCCCAAAAAGCTGCGGGCATGATGTAAACTATTACCATTTTTTTTTATATCCATGTCAAATAAAATTATTGTATTTTCAAGTTAAATTTAGATGTATTTAGTTTCATGACAGAATCCAATATTTAAAAAAAATTTCATTAAATAATTTCTCAACAATTTATTGGCTACATTGCTGTAGCCCGCCTAAATTGATATTTGCCGCCAAAACCTGTTGCTGGGCACCTATTCTGTTCATTCCACAGCGTTTAGTAGTGATTAACATTCAAGATGTTTGAAGCACGTTTAGTCCAAAGCTCTATTTTAAAGAAAATTTTAGAAGCAATCAAAGAATTGCTAAATGAAGCAACTTTTGATTGTTCTGATTCTGGTATTCAACTTCAAGCTATGGATAATTCTCATGTGAGTCTGGTATCTTTAAATTTGAGGAGTGATGGATTTGATAAATATAGATGTGATAGGAATTTATCAATGGGCATCAATCTTACCAGGTAATCTATATTGTTAATTAATAATGGAATTAATTGTACTGTTGTAACAATTTTTTGTTGTTGAGAAAGTCCAACATAGCTTTAGTTTACTCTTTCTTGACCTCCATTCCAAATTTTTTAGTTGTACTTTTAATTTCTTTTCAGTATGTTGAAAATTATGAAGTGCGCTGGGAATGACGATGTCCTTACTATCAAAGCTCAAGACAATGCCGACACTGTGATGTTCATGTTTGAGTCTCAAAATCAAGAGAGAGTTTCGGATTATGAAATGAAATTGATGAACTTGGACCAGGAACATCTTGGAATACCTGTAATTCTAATTATTTTTTTAAAATGTATTTATTTTTAATCAGTCTGATAAATAAGATTTGTTCAATGCTTCTTAGGAAAAAGATTACTCTTGTATCATCAAAATGCCAGCTGGTGAATTAGCCAGAATATGCAAAGATTTAGGACAATTTGGTGAATCAGTTGTAATAGCTTGTTCAAAGGAAGGAGTCAAGTTCTCTGCAGTTGGTGATGTAGGATCAGGTACAACACTATGTTTTATGATCATTATTTTTTTAATGTTATATTTAGTATAAGGTACTGCATATGGATAGGGAATTGGCAAGATCACAAAGTACTTAAAAAGTTGAAGGCTAAGCATGCCCGAAAGTATGAAGAGGTGGATGACCTCTAGACCTTCATCGGAAATTATTTTCACTTCTTCCTATTACTAATTGATTTTATGTTTTTTCCATATTATCTTTTATCATGTTATTATTTCATAATATTCACCTGCATCCTGTTAAAGTAACGTATGTCAACCTTTCCAACATTACACCTTCGTTACTTTAACATGGTGTTGACGCTATGTTAAAAACTTATATATAAAAAAATCATCTTATCTCTAACCACTTGTTATCATAAGCTGTTTTTATTTAATTTATCATAGGTGGAGAATCTTTTTATTATTAGAGGCCGCAGTTAGGCTAGGTACTGCTAATGGTGGCCACATCATTTTTTTTTTAATTTTACTCATAAATATTGCTCAAAAATGTTTGGATGCCGCAGGTTCCTCACCCATGAATTATACTATTAAAGCCTACAATTCATTTAATTGATAAATGCTTTTATTTATGGTCTATCAAACTAACTTGTAAAGAACGAGAACTCATTTGTGTTCTCCAATTCACTTGAATTCCATATGCATTCCACATTCAGTGTGATGGATGTAAACTTGGCATAAATTGTTCACACAAACTTTTTTTTTTTTTTACTGAGTCTTAATTATTTTGAACTTAATGTGATTGACAGAGCTGTAACTAAAGATCATTAATAAGGTTTCATACTAACAAAAATTATTAGGATAACTAATCATATATTACTAAAAAAAAAATAATTGGTCACTTTAAATCATATTTATAAATATATGGATATGTATATTTCGGTACCTTTTAGCATTTTTCAATAAAGAAGCATTGCTACTCATTTAAGTACCTTCTCATTTTAGTACCTAGAAGTGTTTTACAATGAATGATCAGTATTCAACATGGCTACTCAGTAATTTTGGTTCAAACCAAGTTAATCCAATTGTTTAAAATCTTTAAATTGATTGTTTTATTATTTATAAAATTAAATTAAATAAGAAAACTTTTTTATGTTTATTTATTATTTAATTTGTGTACATTTTTTCTAGCTAATATAAAACTTGCACAAACATCTAATGTTGATAAAGAAGAAGAAGCGGTTACTATTGAAATGCAAGAACCTGTTACATTAACATTTGCTTGCAAATACCTTATTTCTTTCACCAAAGCTACACCTCTGGCTTCACAGGTATACATATTAATATGTTATAAGGTAGTTATTTTATTAAATAACCAATTTCATTGAATTTATTCTCGAATAGAGAAATTTATCTTAATTCTTTAATTAATAAATGTTAATATGGTGATAACAACCATTATTTGAAAACATTCTTTTCTCTCACTATGAAAAGTTTAGACAGATGGTTTATTTAAATGTTTTTGTTGTAATAATTTTTTTAAGATTTCAATGAAAATCGTATTTTTATATTAATTATATTTGGGGTTTCAGGTGCAATTGTCAATGTCTGCTGATGTTCCTTTAGTAGTCGAATATAAGATTGGTGAAATCGGCCAGATCAGGTATTATTTGGCTCCCAAAATTGATGAAGAAGATAATTGATCAATTCTTTATTTGCGGCTTTTTATATTGTACTAATGGCGATTTATTCATATTTCGTTTGTAAATAAAATTCAAACATGAGTTAGCTTTAAAACTTAGGATTATTGAAAGTATTGGCCCTAGAAAATAAATGAAAATATAATCAGTAGATGGGAGCTTTTATTTCTAAGCAAACGATGTGAGATTAATTAGTTTGTTATTTGTTAATGCATAATTTTTTTAATTAAAACATTTTTCAAAAGTGTTGTGTGAATAGATTTCTTTTTGACATTTATTTATGTACCCATCCTCTCCTCTATGTTATGGCACCCCAAAACAAATTTTCAGTGGTGTCAGTTTGGTAATCATAATGTGTTCTTCTTTCACGCAGGTAATGAAATGAGTTATAAGATCATTAAGTTGATTTTTACAGGACTAATGCTAATTATAGTTCACAAAATCCTACTAGAAATAGTAGTAATCCTATTACAAATGGGAGTAATGAATAAAATGTAGTGGTGTGAAAAGAAGTTCTAGTCCATGGCTCCAGGGCAATTTGGCGGTGCACAGTTGTCAGAAAAGGCATAAAAGCGGCAAAAAATTTAGGAATTTTCAATTTAGGCAATATGTTTTTATAACTGAATTTATTATAGCATGTCCAGCATTTGCCAGGTAATTACCAAAATCTAAAGTTAATGCAGCTGGTTTTTGTTATTTATGAGAGGAGGGTTCAAAGAAAATTCTTATTACAATAAAACGACAGTCATTGGCCTAAGGTGGAAAAACAATTCCAGGATCCATTTGGCTATAACAACTGAGACACATGTATAATATAACAATTTCATTATATTTCTACCCTCAAATCATACTTTTATGTTTTGAGAGATCCTCCTTCAAATAGGTGGTATTATTTTTCCTAAACTCACATTTTAATGAAGATTCACTGCATAAAAAATAATATAAAATAGTATTATTTAAAACTCGAAAAATGATGGGAAGTAGCTCAGGATGTCCACGCCCTATTTGTTGATTTCAAAGCAGTCTTTGATTCTGTGGACAGGAGCTGTCTTTGGAAAATCATGACTGAACTGGGAATGCCCGGTAAGTTGGCGAAATTGACAAATGATCCCAAATGTAGAGTCCTAATACAAGAAGTATCTGAAGCCTTCTAAGTTTGAACAGACTTAGGCAGGCAGATAGACTACCACCGATGTTCAACTTAGCCCTGGAGAAGGTAAAAGGATCTACCTGGTCTGTAACATTTTTAAACTTCTAAACAAAATAAAAGTGCAATAAAATGAATTACTACTTCTTTAAGCATTATAAATAAAAATAAATACTGAGTAATACATAATTTTTATTTGAACAAAAAATATACAAATACATTCTGAATGAAACGGCAATAACATTTCACTATTAATTAATAAAATTATAAGTGACTGTATGGAATTAAAATAATATACAAATATTTACATTTTTGTTTCATTATATCTATTACTCCAACCATGCCGATGAATTATAAGATGACAATTAAAAATAATGTCTAATTATGTTATGTTTTTGTATAATAGATGTTTGAAAAAAAGTAACAGGTTTTTTTAAGTATATATTTTTTAAACCATCCAAAGTGTAGGTTATTAGGTAATCATTCATTTGAAAAGACAAAGCTATTTATATGATATAAAAAAATATGAAATATAGACAGTATAATTTAGATGATTTTCATTTCAAAGAATAGTTTGCAATTCATTTCAAATAATGAGCATTGCAAAAAGTAAAACCTCAAAATATAAGTGCAGTTCTATAAAATTTATAAGTCAAATAACTAACAAGAAACACAGTCATTTGAAAACACACTTCTAATAATATTTCTTCATTAATAATAATTTTTCCTAAAATTTCAAATCTATTATATATAAATGTCTTTTATAAGACTTTACATTCTAGATCAAACACTAAGTTAAAATCTGGCAACACTTAAACAATTTTAAATATACATCTATGAGTTTTTTTCTTGATAAAAATATGTATGAAATGATAAAAAAATAAAAAAAATAGAAATACCATGGACTGTTAAAATATTGAAACAACCCAGCAGTTCATGTTTTAAAATACAAACTGACATTAAAGGATTAATTTAAATAATTAGATAAACTAAATTAAGTGAAATTTTCATTTAGTTAAATTTATAGAATCGGTCCGAAACAAACAGATATCTGAAAACAGCCTGATTAAGCTAAGAGAAATATAAAATTCATTTAACATCAAAATGAATTAGACAACAATGTAGCATTTGCTTCATGTGTCTCCATTACTTGAAGATAACAGACAAATATAATTTTTGGGCTAAGCATAAAACAATACACGACTATAGCACTTTTCTTTCACTAACATTAACTCTGTTCATAAAGGAACTTTTCATTTTAATATTAAATTATTAACCAATCAAAGTCTATGAGCAAAGTAAACAAAAAAAATAACACAAAAACTGATAGTTTGTTAGTGAATTTACTTAGAGCTAGACATAAGAAGAGGCATTTAAATTAATTGAGATGCTTAAGATGCTAGTTAATCTTATTTTGTAATACTATAGAACAACAATTAACCGAAACAACAAATTGTGTAGGTTAAATATTTAAAAATAAGCTGTCATACAAAAAAAATACTAACACATAATATGCACTGAGAAACAATTAAGTGGCCATTGGACTTTTACAATGTAAAAATGTTTAAGTAGCCATTGGCTAGCCTAAACCGTGAGGTAGTCAAGAAAAATTAAGATATGCACGATATTAAAAAAATTGCTGGAAGACTTTAAAGTTGTATTGATAAATCAATATACCTTTGAACATTTTTTAAAGTGCCAATGCAACTTGAAATAAGCAATGAGAGTTAAACAGAAAATAGCTAATAATGAATAAACTCACATTAAAACAAATATGCTTAAATTGAAAAAAAAAATTTACCGTAACATGAATTATAGAAAAGATTAAATAACTAGTTGATTGAAAACTAGAACAATCAATATAAAATGGCTACTTTTTTTTTGCCTCTCAGTTCATATATAGACATAACAAAATTTAATTTTCCAGATTTTTTTTTTATGCAAAGGAAACAATACAGAATAAAATATCTGACTGAAAATTTGACTCAGCCTAAATAATATTAAAATTAATAATATTATACAGTAACAAAAAAAGTGATAATTTATAGAAAATTCCTCCAATACAACTGTTATTTTCATGATAATCTCTCTAAATTCATTTTGACAAACCTTGCTTATGTAAAATAATTAAATTTTAATGAAATATACTTACAAAGGATTTCAATTTCAATTCAAAGATTGTCGAATGTCAAAGAAAAGACCTAAAACCAATAGCAAAAATTTTAGATATAAATGACTAAAATAATAATCAGATGTATATAATTTTTAAAAAATATGTTTAGTATATATAAGGAAGGGTGTTCATTAGGAGAGGCTTCACTGCATATTATTAAGTTGAGAATTCAGACCTGAACGACTACATATTATTAAGTGAACAAAAAGAAGTATTAATATTTTTTTTTTAATATAGTTATTCCAAGACCTGAATGACTGATGCAACCAGTGAAATGTTTGCACATCATTCTATGGGCTCGACAAAAAAACATGTCATATTCTTTTTTAAAATCAATAAAAATTTCTATAATTTAGGACCAAATTACCTCGGTAAGATCATTACTTATTTAGACACAGCTCTACAAAATTTATAAATACTTTTACATTAATTTTTCATTTAAAATGAGACTGAGCTTTTAATCTTATTTAGTTCAGTGACATAGGGGGGAAAAAATGAGTTATTTTTTTACCAATAATTTGTACATTCAGTAGTCGAACAAGTAAAATAAATAATAAATGCAATACTTACATCCTTGCAATCATCTTCATCAAAGTAGTTATCATCATCATCTTTAATGTTCGCAATTAGTTCATCATCATCATCATCGTCGTCGTCGTCGTCATCGTCACCGTCAACTTCTTCATCCGCACTCAGCTCATATTCTTCTTCTGATTCCGACTCTCTCACCATATTCATTACATCATCGTCGTCATCATCATCAATTTCATCCATATCTTCAATTTCATACTCCGACATGTCATCATCATCATCGTTTTCCATTTCAACTTCTTCTTCAGAATCGTCTTCTTGCTTGAATAGAAAAATAACTTCTCTTAGAATAGAGTCCCTTTAGAATAATACAGAAAGACAAAAATGTGGGCTAAGGAGCCTCAGAGATACATAAACAAAAATATAGAGTAAGTAAATAATCAAAATAAAAAAATAATAAAAGAAATTATAAATTACTTTCTAATTTAAATCAGTTAATAATAATAAATGAAAAATTGAAAATAAACATGAAGTAAAAATAATGAAGAACGATCTAATAATTTATATACATATTTACAGTAGTAACTATTTACAATTAAATGGGGACTGAATGGATAAGAAATGATTGAAGAGGCAGGTTTTAAAGGCAGGAAGGGTTTTGGATTGACGGATGTCACGAGGGATAGAGTTCCATAGAGATGAGGATCGGATAATGAATGATCTGTAGAAAGCAGCAGTTCGGTGGGCCCTTTTGTATAAATCAGAAGACCAGGAACGAACAGAGGATTTTAATTGAAGGAGCTTGGAGATGTATGAAGGACGGTGGGATTGGATGACTTGAAAGAGGAAGTATGGCAGAAAATACTTGCGACGGTAGGAAGGATAAAGTCACTTCAACTCTGCATGAAAACGGGAAACAGAGGCGTCCCTTGGGATCCCGAAGGGTACAAAGCAATTTATCAAACGTTTTAATTTATATATATTAATTATATGACTTTTGCTGATCAATAATTTAGTAAAAGTAGAATATTTTGTCAAAAAAGCAGATGTTTTATTTACCTTCTCGACTTTCAATTTGAGTTTCTTTTCAGCTTCTTCCTTTGCAGCCTAATAAAAATAAAATGTAATTACTACATCTTGTAATTGAATTTTACTAAAATATTACATTAATAAATAAAATTTTGTTCAATATTCATGTTTGTAGAAGTATGAGCTGCATTTTTTCCCCTACATTTACTATACTATTATGTGGGCGTATTACCACATGAACAATAATAGGAACGTACTTTAGAACTTTTATTTTGGACATTTCACATAAATTAATAGGTTATACACTTCTTATCTTCATATCTAACAGCTGTTTTTTTTTTTTTTATTAAAATCAAGCAATAATATTCAAATTGATAATAACAGTTATGTGGCCATAATTATATGAATGAAAATACTTATTTCAGTTGCTAGATCATGAATTAGACCTGTATTATGAATTAATCCAATCTGGTCAAGATATGAATGAATAAATGAGGTGAATGAAAAAAAATTGTATTCTTGGACCAAATAGAGATGAGGCACACCTTAAGCGCATCATACCACTAACGAAAGAGCAGCGGAGATGAGCTTCCAAAACTGAACCAAAGGTTTTTAATGACAGGCCGGCCACCAGAAGCAGAGCGCAGTTGAGCAGCGTAGCAGGGGTCAGCTAAGCTCGCTTTGGGTTAACTGAGGTTCAGTTTTGGAAGCTGACTCAGCTTCCCCCACCACACCTACTCATCACTGTCACACAATCGTGTGGCTTTGTTCCTCAGTGTCATCCTTTTTTTCCACTTGTTTTCACTGCAAAACCTCTCAAATTATTTTATTTTGGTTCAGTATAAAATATGCAATGGAAGCGGAAGAATTCTTAATCAGATGTGTAAGGAAAAATATTCGATTTTATACACAAATATTAAATATTTCTTTTCATCTCCGACATGATCAACGTTGCTATTTTTTAAAAAATGTTATATACGCTATATATACTTTTTTAAAATGTTATAAGGAATATGAGAAGAGTACTAATGCAAGGCAAGTTGCTGACTGAGCTGAGCTCTGCCATGTAATCGGTTGCCGAACCCGTCTTACTACGCACAGCTCAGCTGCGCTTTCGGTGGCTGTTCAGCCTTAGAATAAAATTAACCCAAAACCAGTCAACTTCAAGGATAAGTGGGAACTGGTAATTATGTATCGAAGTAGATTAAGCTATATAAAAGTCAAAAACAATTTTTGTCTCAGCACCTAGCCAGCCATAAATATCTCATATATTTCTTGTTAATAATTTTATTGGCTAAATATTCTGTCTAAGCTATCATATGAGCCATAGAGTACTTTGGTATTGATGAATAACAATCCAAATTTTAACAATGACATGATGGGTCTGTTTCTGTATTTTTAAATAACATCATTTTCTACTGTGAAAACGTATTGGATTTCTCAAGTCCAATTGAATCCCAATAATTAAAATTATTGAATTAATAAACAATGAGTCCAGCTACAGCCTATTAAAAATCTATGCTTTACAACCTTATGTTATTCCAAAGTGAAAGCATAGACAGTACTTTGCTACAATATCTTGATTTAGCTCCTGAATGAAAATTTGGAGCTTGAGTTCAGAATTAAGATCAGTATAGGAAGTGAATAATTAACTTAGCAACATTAAAAAGAAAAAAAAACTTACGAATCTTAAAAATTCCACTATTTTAAAGAAATATTAGAGCCTTTTAATTTAAATGGTTGTTATGCAATCTTTAGTTTTAATTTATTTACATTTCTAAATAATGGAATCCATTTAAGTACTAATGAATTGAAGTAAGATGAATTATGAGACAGCCAAGATGATTATTTAGCTGTCTGCACATGCTATTCATGAGACAAAACCTCATCAAGCGTGTGAAGAAATGATCTCACCTTTCTTGTTTGAAATGGATTATCAGGCTTCATTATCAAGGAAGCACTGACATGCCTCGGAAATTTAGTGAGTTCCTTCGAAAATGTCAAGTTTTTTATTGAGTAGAGATGATGAGAATATATAAATAGATACCATTCAGTCTAGGAGATGAAGATCATGTGTTAACCCCTAGCCCAATTTGTGGAATTTTATAGAAGTTAACATGGGCCTATTTTCATTTCACCGAGTTTCTGAATCTTCAATCGAACCAATCATAAAATGAATTGTTCAGCTTGAGGACTATATTTTAAACTTACTCACAGATTGAGACAATGATTTTATTTAATTGTTGAAGGAAGAAAAGTGAGAGGTTTTCCTAGGCCAGTGGATGAGTGTGGGAGATTAATTGCAGAGTTAAAAGCCCCCCTCGGCACTGGAAGGAGTACACAATATCACAGTAATTTCTCATTTGTAAAATGTTTTGTAGTAAATTTTTCACAGGCATGAAGATATCATTACAACACCTACGTACACTTGCATACCAGCAGGCTTTTTGTTATATATATATATTTATATATAATTAGGTTGTAAACACTTAATTTTTAATATTGGATCTCAGTATCTACAACTTTGGGAATTTCTTAAATAACTTATCAAGTGAAATGATACAAATAATGCATGAAATTGTCAGATACCTTTTCTGCTTTAGCTTTCTCTTTCTTGGCTTTCAATTTCGCACCAACTGTTAATTTTTCCCTCGGCTTTGGAAATAAAATAAACATTAGTGAATTTCAAAAATATAGGAGAGTATGTTACATATTAAATTGTCAATTGGTTACCTTTATATCAGCAGTAGCTGAGCTAGACTCTTCACCCGGGGGTCCAAATGTTGCTTTGTGTCGTCGAAATCTAACAATTATTGATCTTGATGCCATTATTGTATTTACTGAATCTTTATAAGCTTCGAGAGCAGCTTCAGCAGTAGAAAATTTCACAAATGCATACCTTAAAAAAATAATGAAATAGATTAAAAAAAAAAAAATTAAAAACATTTATTTGAGTTAAAGGCCTGACCTAAATCAGTTTATTGGCAAGCATCCCAAATCTTTTACTTTCTTCAGAGCTTATAGAACCACACATTCTTCTTTTAAGCCTGTATTAAATTTCAATATTTGCATAAGCAGTCTTAGTAACTCAAGTGAGAAGACAAACAATTTTAGAATAAAAATATAAATTTTTTGGTTTATATAAAATCTTATAACATATTTTTTATTGTTCCATTTAATATTACAACATGCTTCAACTAACTCTATTATCCTATAAATTACCAAGAAATCCAAACTGGTATGAGAAGGTCCAAAAATATTCCATGATAATTTAAAAGTCAACCCATCAGGCAAAATTCAAACCAGTGTCACTTCTGACTTTAGAAGGGCAACATCAAAAGGCACTTAGCCTTATCTTATTCAGCCGAACATTTCTTTCATACTAACTGATTTTCATTTAGGAGTTATGTTCACAATAAATAGAAAGTTGGACTAAATTTTTTTTTAGTTCAACATTTTAAGCCATTTGCACCTGCGCTGCTGCTAGACTATGTAGCACCTAGACAATTTGATGAATTAGGCATTAACTGCGAGTTTGCTTGATTAACTTAATTTTGTTATTGTTGTAGGAGTAGGTCTCTTGGCCATTTTCTTTTTGGTCTGCGTCCATCAGGTAACAGAGAGAAAGAAAGAGACAGAATGAATAGGTTTGGATGATTGAGAGTAGAAGAATGAAATGAAGTGTATTTGTCGTGGATGTACGATTTTACAGTTGGGATGTTTAAGTTGTGTTATTTAAAATGTACCAAGGTGCGCTGACAATTTTTTATTGTATTGTTTGTATTTTATTAATGTGTGTTTGTTTTGCCGAACCCCAAGGTTCTGCTCAGTATGTCCAAATTGCTCTCAGTATGGTGTTGTAGATCAGTTGTTCCGTAAGTTAAGTCTTTTTAATATAGTATGTATGTTCCAGGTCAGTCTTTTGTCTAAGTAGAGTCCGAGATACCGTACATAGTTTTTTAAAGGCACTGGATTATTGTCAATCTTTATGGGTGGACACGAGGCTTTCCTAAGAGAGAAAGTCACATGGGTGGATTTACTACTATTTATTTTAATTCTCCATTTCTCAAACCATTTTTGAAGATCAAAGAGGTGGTTTTGAAGAGCAATGGATGTGATAGTAGGATTTTTGAGGGAAGAAAGAATTGCAGTCATCAGCGAAGCAATAGAGGGTGGTGCTAGGGTGCTCAGGGATATCAGAGGTGTATAGCGAATAGAGAATTGGACTTAAGATGCTACCTTGTGGTACGCCAATGTGTTGAGGAAAGAAAGAGGAGTCAGAAGAATCTACGGATACACAAAAAAACCTGTCAAGAAACAAGGAGTGAATAATTAAGTAGAAAATAAGTGCGGTTTTAATTTCCATAATCGGCCCTTGTACCAGACACTATGAAATGCATTCTTTATGTCAAGGAAGACCGCCGAGCAGAGTATTCCTTTTCCTCAAAAGCAACAGAGATTTAAAGTAAATCTAAATTTAAAATAAAAATTTCACTCAGTGTAATGAGATATATTAAAAAAATTTTACTTCCGTGAATACGGTAACTGCTTATTATTCCTTTTTTCTTATTTAATTATAACCCATTCTTAACTTCATAAAATAACTGTTTTAATGTACAACAAATTCGAAATTCACAAAAAGTGCTAAAAAGTTTAGACCCATTAAAAATGTACTTAATGACTTTTGGAAAAAACCAACAATAATATATAATATAATATAGTGAGCTAGAAAATTGAAATAAGTGATTGTAATATTGTTAGAGATACAAATAAGAAAATAACAATTAAAAAAATCTATAAATTACCTGGTGTTTTTCATTCTCTTTGCATGGCCAACATCAATCCTGGTAGCTGTAGGGAATTTTTCTTTAACTTCAACTACACTTATGTTAAGCGCCAAGTTGCCAACATATAACCTAATAATAATAACAATGATATTAAAAAAAAAAAAGATATCAATAAGATAATAATCATTCAAAATAAAATTAAAGTATTATTACGTAAAAGGATCTATGTTTTCATAACCAGAATTCTCTTCAGGTTTTTGAGATTTTCTTTCAGCAGTTAAGTGGCCAGTACCAAATTTGACTTTATTAATATCCTCCATCACTTTGTCAACATCAGCATCGTCTTTAAGAGTTACAAAGCAATATCTGCCAGCAATCAGAAAATAAATTAAATAAAACTGAACTCATTTTTATTTTCAATTGTCTAAAAACTGTTTCACAATTACTTTGGAAATGGTATTTATATAAAAAATTAATATAAAGTTATTATAAAATGGTAAGAAACACTCTATGAAATATCACAATAATAAAATGATTTTACCAAGAAATAATGCATTATATATTTTTGGCTAGCCAAGCTTAAAAATATTTGTTAGAAATAATTCTAGGATTTTTTATGTCAGGTAATAGTTTTTATAAAATATTTAGCTTTCCAACGATATTGAATAAACATATATAACTATTATTATTTGACGAATTGTGTTTAAACCAGCGAAAATGTTCTTCTTTATTTAAATTATTTACAATAAGCCATATTAAATGTATATTAGAGGAAGACTTTACAGCAATTTTTTCAGAAAATCGTAAAAACCATTGTGTAAAGTGCCACTTCCAATAAGGCGATTTTAGTGAAAATTTTAATATGTAACATTCCCGGCATATTCATCCTTAAACATGTAATTTCAGTTTCGTTTAACATTTCGATTTTGAGTTAAACTGTTAACAAACACACACAAACCGTTTTGTGAGATCTAATTGAATTCAGGAGAAATCAAAATTTGTATTTCAGTTGAAAACACGGATTATAATACTCCCCCTTATAAAATATTTCATATAAAACATAAAGATATGTGGAAGTAAAAATTATTCTATACAATATACCTCACGCCACATGGTCCTTGGAAGTGTACATTGTCAATCTGTTTATGAAAACCTTGAACAATTTCTTTAGAAAGTTCCGGATCCGGAAAACGGATGACAATACTTTTAGCATTTGCACTTCGTTGACATTCCATTTCCAGGGCGTGTGCCTTTTCTGCTGCTTCTTTATCCCAAGGCCTACTAGTGCTGTTAGGGGCTCTTTTCTTCTTTTTATGAGTTGTTTCACTCAAAGTCTGAAGAATAAAGATAATCAATAAAGATTATATATACCATAACACATGAAATGATCCAATAATGAAAATAAACAATACGATGAGAAAAAGCTATATAACTAAACAATTAAATTTAGTATATTGTTTAGATTTTAACTCAGTCCAATAATTATGTAAATTTTATAAAATTATACTAGAAAATATTGGTTTCCGGTTTTCGATTTTATTTGAATTTATTAAATATATTTCTTATTTTCAGAAAAAAATCAACACTAAATCTTTTAAAGCTTACAATTTCATTTTAATTTGAATTTTATCAAAACTTTATACTTTACAATTAAAAATAGCATTAATTAAATACAGTAATAAATGAGGAAAAGAACTTAAATTTGCAGTTACAATTGGAGATCACTCAAATACCAACAATTTCTATATAATATATATATATATATATATACACCAAGAAAATAATTTTTTTTTTGTATCTTTAAAGGAGGTAATCCAAGCAAAGAAATTGATGTAATCCAACACATCGAGCTAGGAAGGCTAAGCTGGGCTAGATGGGAGACAAAGAAATTTCTGCTTCTTCTGATGCTCAAGATATACCTAATGTCTGTAATTGGAAGACAGCACTCGATACAGAAAACTGGCAATCAATGTTGAAGCAGATCAAGACTCAACTGAGTGTGGCATAGAGCCGAAAGAAGAAGAAAAAAAGAAGGAAGTCTTAACTTAATAACTAAATTAAATGAAAGAAAATATTGTAATAATTATGATAGACAGCTGCTTAGTTAGTCACAATAAGCTAATTTCATTCTAAACCTGAGTAACACAAAGCAATAAGTATTATTGTGCAATAAATACATGAGCCATTATATTTTAGAAGCGATTGTAAAAACAAAAAAATCCAGGGTTAGTACTAAAACTAATTCATAAAGTCTACTAGAGTTGGATTATGATCTGGAAAAAGTGCAGTGTTACACAGTAAATTATTTTATCTAGCTTTGATGACGATTATAAAGAAAAGACAATTAATTATAAGTACTCATAAGGTAATCCTAGATATGTAGGTTTGGTATCACTAACGTTATAAATAAAAGACAATTAATTATAAGTCCTCATAAGGCAAACTTAGATATTTAGGTTTGGTATCACTAACGTTATAAAGAAAATACAATTAATTATAAGTCCTCATAAGGCAACCTTAGATATTTAGGTTTGGTATCACTAACATATATAATGATCTAAGATATCTAATCAAATTATACTTTTTTTTCCATTATTCTAAGATCTATAAACATAAATTTTGCATTAAACGTCATACAATGTGTATGTTAAAATGTTACCAATCAGATATTTGTATAATTGCCAGTTATTGCCGATCATCTCCACTAAATTTGATAAATTAAAAAAAAATATTGAATATTTACCTCCATAAAGTATTTATCATCATCATAAGAACTTTCTGGTGAGTTAAGAAACTCCCTCAATGTACCAAAATTACTCCAGTGTGGATACATTCTTAGCTTCTATTATAGTAACCTATAATATTAGTACCGATCTAGGATCTTCCAAATTTTTAGACTAAATGCTAGAATGGTCCAAAACAAGCTCTGAAGATCATCTTAGCCAGTTAACTTACTTATATCTTAATAACATAAGCACTGGACAGTTTGATTATGTCAGTTATTTTGTTGCTCGATCTTTCATTAAACAAAAAAAGATATTAATATTATTTTGAATGACTTTCTTATAATGTAAATTTTACAATGTAATCAAAACAAACTATGAAGGAATATGGAGACTGCAGAGAAAAAAACTAATATGGAGACTTCTGACGTAAACTATTGCTAAGTGATGACAATGCACGAATAACACACAGCCTGTTTGTTATATGTGGTTTCTTTGAAAAATCCAACAAACATTTTAATTTTAAATATTATAAAAGTATAATATGCATAAATATAAGAACTTAAATATTTAATAATTTAAAATAGTAGCAGTGACAAAAGTCATTAGTAAAAGTTCTAATAATAAAACTTTTTCCCTAATGAGGTCTTTTGTTTGAGATGAAACGTCGGCTCATAATTCAAATTTTATTTGGACTATATTCCTGAATAAAATGACCATACTTAAAATGACAATTTATTGAATTTTTAATTATGAATTATGTAATATTGTTATTCACATCGTCTCATTTCATATAGCCTAATAACAAACTGTCTGACTAGTAATAACTAAAAAAATTGTATTGTTTTAATCAGCAAAACTATTTATAACAAGTTGAGAACTATACAAACTTGCCAGTCAATTAAATGAATATTCAATAATTTATCACATTTGCCAAATGTAATTGAGATTATATACAATAACTGGCAAATAAGTGAAATCTCCAGTTTTTAGCAATTCGGTAACATATACAATCCTAAATGAACTAATAATTATAAAATTATGAAAATTAAATCAAATTTTATTGAATAAACTAAAATTTTATAATTTCATGATATGTTTTATTGTATCTGACTGTTTAAAAAAAAAGAAATATTAAAAATAATGTATTGTTTAAACATTTGCATTGTTCACTATATGTCACCTGGCATTCACAAAAATAAACCATACTGCGTATTTTTCATTCCATGTTGTCAAATTATTTGGATCTTAGATCATCATCTAACATGGAAATTTTATAAGTGGTAAAGGAACTAATTGATACAATGTGTTGTTTATACACTTGAAAACAACAAAGAAAGAAAAAAAACCTCAATCTTTACAATTTTCACAAAACACTGAATACCTGCTGTTAATCAAGAGTAATATAAACAACTTATGATCCTTAAAAAAAAAAATCCACTTAGTCTTCCAAATTAATTTATTTAAATAAAAAACAATGCTCTAGATCTTTTAAGAGATACAAGGCCTTACAAGTAGTTGGCATATAAAGGTGTACAGCAGTCTTGTCGAAATAAAGAAACAGATACTTTAAATCAAGGGAAATATAATTATAAATATTCGACTTTACAGATAACATTAATTTCAACACCTAAATTTCAAAAATTATATTTAAAAATCAAGAACTGATAAACTTGAACTTTTCTAAATGGAGTACTTAGTATAATTCAGAACACTTATGAAAAAAAAAGAAAAGAAAAGATCTTATAAAATATTCCACCTCGATATGAACAACCACAAACTAACAAATTAATTCACTAATTTTTTTAAAATATCATAGAAATACCTGAAACTATTCCTATATATTTGTATTTTTTTTTTAATTATAAAATAAAACAAAACAATGAAACTGAAATTTTACCTTTATTTACAAAATTATGACTTTTATGATAAACAAAGTGACTTTTAAAAATTGACATCTACACAAGGATTTCAATTATAAAAGAAAAAAAAAACTGAAAAAATAAATAATTTAACTATCATGATTGTATTAACTCTCTCAATATTAAAATAGCACAATACAACAGTAAAAAGTAGTATTCGTAATAAAAAAAAAAAAAATACAATATTAACCGAATTTGGGAAAATTATTCCCATCTTTGTGCAATTTGAGATGATTTCTACAGGATCCTAATGAAAATCATAAATTTTATTTTTTCTCTTCTTTTTATTTCTTTTATTAGGAAGTTCTTTGTTACACTAATGTGGTTGGCAATTATAACTTACTTGTGATTTTTTCTCATATTATTACAAGTTAATGTATCCAGATCACCTAGCGATACATAGTATTTTAGCTAAATAACGTTGGAACATCAGTACATCTTCTATGGTCTCCTGGTCACATTGGTATTATAAATGAAAGGCTGATAGAGCAGAAAAAGAAATTCTTACTCTTCCAAGATGTATTAAGCCTTCTTAACAGCGTCCGATCTGGCACAACCACTAAAAGAGGCTATATACCAAGATTGGCAGTTAAAGTTGTGGGACAACAGCCCTCCAAATAAATCGAAGGTCATAAAGAGTGAAGCCATAGAGCAGTTATAATTGCAGTACGCAGAGAGAGGAAGATATCCTTACGCGATTAAGAATCAGACGTACCAGGCTTAAACCTCTTCTCTAAATCACTAAACAAAATCTGCCCATTTGTCAAAGGTATGGGGAGAGAATGAAAGTAGTCCATATCATTTGAAAGTTGCGCCATTTATTTCAAAAAGTTTAATGAAAAATCTTGACTTAAGTCATATCTTTTCATTCCGAAGAAGAAATTTTTAAAAATATCTGAAACCTTATCTCTCCTTCTTTATTTTTATTACTATTATTTTGTTGATGTACAACTAGCATATATAACTATAAATAAAACCATATATAAACTTAATTAACGCTGTTGATAACATACAGGTTTTATGCATTAATTCATAACAACCAACCAACCAACATGTTAAAGTTTCAGGATATATTTTCCAACCATCAGAACCATACAGACTTTTGTCAGAATCTTGTGTTGTTTTTGGAATGCTTTTTCGTTGTAATGTAAACTTTGTTTGGTGCTTTTTATAATTAAATATAATCAAAATAAATCTTGCCTTTGATTATGTTAAATTATAAAAAAATATCTGGTGTGGTGCACTATCACAACTTTTACTTTAACTTATTAAACAGTTATTTCCCAAACAAAAAATGATGGTTCAAAATATTAAAGGAAATTAGTTTGTGGTACAGACACCTTTTTATTAAATTATTAATATCTGGCAGAAACTTCGTAAATAGCTCCATCTCATCGTAACCTACAAATATTTTATTTACAAAACTTCGCGAAATTGGGACGTTTTTAATCTGGAGTTCGGTAAACTTTCTCTATTTAATTAGGTACTAAAAACTCGTAAATACCTATTTGCTTACCACTTGGATCATAAGATAATTTGATCACAAAATCAATAAAAAAAGGTGTCCTAAAAAAATATTGGACTGTTTGGCCTATATAACCTCGTTATTTTGACAATTAGGGGGTGTAGGTCACGCCAAACGGCTCAATATTTTTGAAGATCACCTTTTTTATTGGCTTTGTGCTCAAGTTATCTTACGATTCAAGTGGAAAACAATTGGGTATATTTACGAGTTTTTAGTACCTAATTAAATAAAGAAAGGTTACCGACCTCCAGATTGAAAACGACCCGATTCTGAGGATTTTTGTAAATAAAATATTTGTGGGTTACGATGAGATGAAGCTATTTATGACGTTTCAGCCGGATGTTAATAATTTAATAAAAAGAGGTCTATACCACAGACTAAGTACAGATTAAAGGCAAAAGTAGACTTTTGGAAAAATTCTGATCTTTGTCCTAAACATCTACCACAAAAACATAATAAAAATGAGTTAATGTTAATAGAATACACATTGTAGATTATACACATATTAGTAGATCCTCTACATATTGGGAGACAATATTTTTTTTTTAAATTATGCTAGAAAAATATATAAAAAGTTAGTTTAACAAAACCAACAATAAACATTAATAGGAAGCATTGCACTGACAAAGCAGTTTAAATGGACAGAAATCGGGAAAAGTCGGGTGCTTTTATTAGCTGTTTCTGATTTTACAGTTTTTACCTAGGATTAAAATAGGATTTGTATAAGCATACAACAAATTATCAAGAATTTCAAAATATGATTTATCATGCATAATCTGTGATATTTGATTAAGCTTTCATTCAATTTTATTCGTTCAGCTATATGAAAAATGAAGTGTGCGTAATCTAGGTAATGTAGAATCAATGATTATCTAGAAGCAGAGGGTGTATCTCGATTCCAATTCTTTCTTCTACGTCCCCATGATAACACAGTATATATTAAAAATATTAATAGTCGTATAATTTTTCGCAAGCAGGAATATGTCAAACTATGTTTAAAAGCAGATCATAGGATCGAATCATTGTTCCTTGCAGATAATTGTGTAGTCTCTTGAAGCTGACAGGTCAACAAACCAAGGTTTCAAGCAGCTACTAAATGTCTTCTCGATTCCAGGCTAAGTTCAATGATTTAATGGATAGCTTAAATAGTTTGTACATTCATGATGAATCGCTTCCATAAGGCCGATAAACAGTGTAAACCGTCAGGGTAAGTAAGTTTGTCTTAGAATTCTTGGGAACTTAGTTCCACCCATCATTTGAAATAATGGCAGCTCTAAATTTCATATAACTTATTTCCCCTATTTTATATTCATTGTATCCTTAACAAAATCAATGATATTCATACTAAATTAATAATTTGAGAATAATTAAAAAGGAGAGTTTTTATTAATTTATTGCAGTTTTTTTTTTCTCTCACGAGTTAATAAGAAACCACATATTATATAAAACCCATTGAACCAAAAACTGTACAAATGAAATCCCAGAAATAATTTTTACTATCAAGATATTTAGAGGATAAACTAATAATAGACTACATAAACATACACTGAAATACATTAGACAAAAATTTCCAATTCTTTATAAATCAATAAGAAAAATGAACTTTTCAATGCATAAAAAGTATGAATATTTTATTATGAAATTAAAAATAACGATAATTCCTATTTTAAATTAAATTTGTATAACTTACTCAATTAGTAGCTGGACCATAGCTAAAAAATAATTAGTCATTTAATTATTTCTTCCTAAAAACTTCTTTCTTCTTTCTTGATTTTCTGGAACCAACACGTACTTATTGAGCAACCTGAATCCAACATATGTAAAAGTATATGTCAAGAATAAAGGAAGTAGCTTCAACTCCCTCTTCTTTCTTCTTCTTTAAAAATGCAATTACTTGAAAAAAAGGAAATGAATTCAAGCAGATAAGTTTATAAATAAGAAATAAGAGATAAAAAACTAATTGAAGCATTGCACTGTATGCTGTAAAATCGATCATAGTATTAACTAAACTTTAATGTAGCATAAATTATCAAAAATAAAATCCAAGAAGAAATTTGTTCTTAAATTGCATCAACATATCATTTTTTTTTTTTTGTATCATCCAGTTTAATATTAACTTTGTTCCAGGTCTTAAGTTTTAAGGAAATCAAATTTATTTTACAAAAGGACTTTTCCAAAAAAACCAATACAAGAGGAAAAAACAAAACAAATAAAAAGCTAAGTTTCAAATTAATTTCAAATTTCAAAATGTTTCAAATTTTTGTCATAATATTGAACTCATTATTTTGAATTTCCAAAATGTGAGGAGAATAAAAATCAATATTATATTGTTACTATACAATTATAAATTTTTTTACTGTGCTACAGGCATATATAATACTACAATATATTAATTAAGCAGGAAACAAACAAACTTCTTACTGTGTAACTCTGTGAAGAAATAAATGGATTTTTTTCGGGCTATAGCACAAAATTAAGTTATTTTTCAAAATTGTATACATTACAATAGCAATAAATAAATTAAAATAGTTATTCATAACAAGGAATAACTTAACTGAAATTAATAAAATTTAACATAATTACCAAAAAGTATGAAATTTTATTCATAATTAAATGGGATTAAGGTTAGATAAAATTTAGTAAGCAATAAATTTAGTGAACATAAGATTGTATTTATATGAAGGGATAGATTTGTCATCTAGAATATGTTTTGGGGAAGACTCATGACAAAATAGCAAATTAAAAAGTCTTAATAAGAAATCAGTCCGAGATGACCCGAGGCATTTAAAAACTTAATTTAGAACAAGGTTTTATCTGGTTGCTTTCTTAAGTTTACTTTTATATAACAATAGTTAAGTAAACAAAAATAAATATTATGATTATACATGGCTGACTACAATAAACCTAAGTACACCAACTACCGACATGAAGGTAACAACTTCAGTATGCCTTGTCTTTCCCTTTGATTTGATATATCTTGAGCTCCATTGAAAAAAATTTTTTTTTATAATAGATGAAGAAGATTAACTAACAAATATTTAAAAATGGATAATCCTCTAACTTACATAAAGCTCATCCATCCAAAAAAAATCTACTAAGCAATTAAGGAATACAATAAAATATATTTATTTATTTATTATAGTCAAATTGTATTAATGTCTGTTACATTTAAGAACAATAAGTGATAGTGGTTAATGTGTCCACTCACAGCTTTAATATTCTAAACATATTGTGTGGATTTTTAAAAAACAAAATCAAGAAAATTGAATATTTACTATTTTAATATATAACTATGATGTATCAAAACCATACCAACATATGTCGTAGCAAAATATGATGTAGATGATTAAAATCTGATACCATACAACATAAAAATTTTTATTTAGTTAAATTTTTTTATGATAAAGACAAGCATCTAATGATTACTGATAGTATCATGCACTAAAATAGAGTAAAAGATAGGTACAAATGATAGGCTATAAATAAGTAGTAAATAAACTCTTACCGTGTCAGCTTCAAGCTGAGTAACAGGGGCTGGAGCTGCAGTAGGTGGAGGTGGCGGCTGAGGAGCAGGCCACGGAGGAGCTGGGTAAGGCAAATAAGATTCGGGGGGAAAGTGTGGTGGAGGAGGTAGCGGTGGTCTCGGTGCTCTTGGAACCCAATGTGGCCTCATTTTTCGCTTCAAAAAAATATCCAAATTTATAAAATTTCTTTGCATAAAATAGTTTTAATAAATAAAATAGTTATTGAATAGTCCAATGAATATTGCGTGTGGTGATAAAATTCATAAAACTGGCAAGTACTTCATTAGGAATGTATAAAAATATGAGTGGATAAAAACTATTAACTACATTCTAGTATTTAGATTGAGATTTGATGGTAAATCATCATATCATTTTGTAACATCCATATCACCTTCTACTATGTTAGTTGTAAGTAAACTCATTAAGAATCATTAGATTTTTTAATCATTATTCTTTAGATGATTATGTCTAATAACCCATCAGATAATTCACAAAAAAGTTAATGTTTCAATAATAGGGACCATATTAATTAGATTAAACAACAAGCAGATCAAAATAAAATACAAGTTTCAAGGTACTTACAAATTGTTGTGGAGGAAAACCTCTAGGGGCAAAAAATTCGCCACCTCTCATATGCATCCCTCTTCTTGGATAAGGGAAATAATTAGCAGCCCTTGCCCCACCCCTTTTTTGGTTCCAATACCCATTGTTAGTGTTATTAAATTCAGCTCCTTTGGCTTTAGGAGTGAATTCTCCTGTACTGGTGCTTGTATTTCCGTTCCAAACCATCTACAAAACCACTGTGGTTAATACATAAATGTTTATGTGATTAATACAAAATACAAGTGAATCTGAACAAATAACATAATTATAAATTTGATGATTACCTTGATATTTTAATGAATATCAAAGTTAGAGCATTTTCATATATTATAAATTAATCTGTTAATGGTGAGGAACTTTTGACAAATAGAACAAGTGAAACCTTTCTTTAGTACATCAAAATATCATTTCATCAATACTTGTCAACAAATTCAATGAAATGAAAACAACTAATTCACTTTTTCATAAAATACTTCACCAGATTATATCAAAACAATGTACACAAACAATACATTCCCTAACCTTATCATAGTAGGATAACCACTAGTAGGTTTACCTAACAGTGTGTCATTCATTTCTGAAAATAAAAAGTAAAATATCCATACACGTTGTAAAAAGATAACTTTTAATAATCTTTAGATTTGTCTATAACTATTTTGTACAATATATTTATAAAGATAATTTATATAAAATGAATACTCGAAGAATTTTTGAGTTATAAAATAAAATCTCTGCATTAACTCATTTTATTGAAACACTGTAGACAATTTTTAAATTCCCATTGGCAAACACATATATTGTTTAATATTCAAGTTTTTAGTTTATTCTTTGAACTATCAACTCTGATTGCTTGATGGTAATTATCCATTAAGGAAAGGAATCTTGAATAATCCAATGACACCATTAATTTGTTCTTGGAGCAAAATCACTTTTTTTCAGTCATATCTAAAATTTTGAGCTCACATTACTGCTTCACGCTGTTAATGATCTTGTACCTGGTATATTCTTAACAAAAATCAATCCATGGGCACTTTAATACTATTGAATGATTCTAATTTTTTCAAAATATGGCTTTTCTTTCAGAGAAATAGTTCTTTTTAAACAATGATGAACTAGAATCAAAGATTTAATAAGGGTGAACTGAACACTGGTTATTTTCCTGTTCTGAATAATGATTTAAGAATACTAAATTTTGATAATTGTTTGTTATTGAAAGTAGAAAATATTAGTTCAAATAATTAAGAGGAGTTTAATAGCAGTAATTAAAGAAAAAAACTGGATAAGTAATAGGATTTTTGTTTATTAAATTGTATTTTATGACTGTTTCTCATTTAAATAATAATAATAATACCAATATTTAAATTCTAATGAGAAGCAAATTATAGAGAGATTGTAGAGAAGAGGATGTTTTTTAACAAAATAAAAACACCCTGACTAGACAAAATCATACACAAAAGTGCTTATAAATTAAACATTTACTGTTTTTTTTTTTTTTTTTTTTTTTTTTTTTTTTTTTTTTTTTTTTTTTATATATATAAGCTCTGGAAAATGAGTAGATGCATGACACTCAATAAGATGTATATAAATTTACATACACAAATAAGTGTTGTATAAAAATTAATTTATGAGCCAAAATAAAAATAAATATTGTTTTTTAATACCAAAAGGTTTAATATAACATTATGTTTAGTAAAATGGAGTTAAGAATTTTTAAACGAAAGTTAAATGCAGAAATCAATTTATTTTATACAAGATATACCTAAATAAATTTATGGAATATGAAATTATTAGATTTTCTAATAAGAAACTTTCAATATACTTAATATTTAGTCGAATAGAAGTCGAACTAAATTAGATTGCTTTTACCCAACGCCCACCATTGGTAGTCCATACCATTTGGTGATCCTCAGATCAGCAAAGAAAAGTCTTCTAATTAAGTATAATAAAGTACAGACCATTAAATGTCTTAAATATACAAATAAATAAAAGATTAAATACAAATAACATATTTTAATACCTCACTGTCTCTTTAAGAAGGACGCTAAACGCTAAATGCCATGATCAGAGAGTTGGGTATCTTCCACTTGCTGAAGATCTTGTTGAGTGAGCCTCATCCTGGGTGTTCAGCTGTTCCCAGTCTTTTCAACAGTAGTTTTCGAATTCCAAGGAATGTTGGAGAAATTCTCTACCTCCTTTAAAAGAATCTTGCTGTCTTCAGTGTTTATTAGTAGAATAATTGTAATTGTTTCCTCCATCGGTATATATATATATGTATATATATATATATATATATATATATATATATATATATATTTTTTTTTTTTTTTTTGTTACGAATAATAATAACAAAACAAACCAATTATTATTGTTAATTTTACTTTCCTACCTATACTTGGTAAGGAAAGTATTGCGATCGGGTCAAATTTCCGATATGCGGTTTTCGACGGATCTATCGTTTCAGAGCCCCCTGAGTCCAAAAACACATTTATAACCATAGGTCTGCCTGTCTGCACTAAGATTTTCTCGGGAACTAGTGGAGCGATTTGTACTAAATGAAAAACATGTTTTTCTATTGATTGTAGCGCGAAAACGGCTCTAACGATTTTTATGAAACATTCCTGTAATGTTCTAATAATTTTCCTTTCAATTTTGTACGTGGACTAAAGTTCTGAAAAAAATCAGGGAAAAAAGTTAGAAAGAAAAGAAAAATGTTTTGGGCCCTAACTCGCTAAGTATATATTCTATGATAAAATTTATAATAAAATTTTTGAAAGGTAATTAACGAACAAAACAAAAAAAAAAAAAAAAAAAACAAAAAAAAAAAACAACGGAATCGAACCAGTATTAGCGATGATACAGCGTATTCTATTTCTAATGTAAGATTATGGGTACATATCCTGGTGTCAGAAATGGATGAATGAGAGAAAAAAGATAACTTAGTGAAAGTAAGAAAATCTGTTGTCCGCATTATAAAAAAGCCGCTTACAAGCTTCACTATTACCTTTACTTTTAACAGAAATTATTGTTTGACAGAATTAGGCTATAGTAAAAAGTTTTTGATCAGCAATATTAGAGGGTATTGGAATTTTTACACTGATCTACCTTAAGCCGGTTTACATAGCTTTAGTTTATCAAATAAATCGTACTAAAATATTTTCTGTGATCAATTTTCAGGAAAATAAATTTAATTCAATTTTTTTTGTTTCTCGATGGGCATATGTAAAGATATAAAACCTTTTCAGAAATAGGTAGGGAAGTTGTGTGAGTGGTCACACCTGATTTGTTTTTTGCTGTAATTTATTCTCTTTGATATCATATTTGCTGAATACCGAAGTAGATGGTAAATTTATTGTGCACCAAGAATATGTGTAACTAATAAATAAAACAAATAAATTAATTGAAATTAATAGTTTCTACAATAAATCGATAGCCATATTGCAAAAGCCTGTAAGTACAATTTAATTAGAATGCGCGGTTTCGAACTTTCCCGGGTATTATTCATAAAAACTAATTAAAACGTTATTTAGAACATTACATCTTTATCTTAAGCCTGCAATAAAACATTAACGGAAAATCTACTTCACATAGTAAGGATTATTTCGTCATATAAATAATTTCATGTTCTGCAGTTACAGGTTTTTGCAGTGTGGCGGTCGAAATATTGTATCATTATTACTTAGCTAACCTTTATATCAAGTAATATCTGTTTAAAAATTAGTTTTTAGTGTGATATATCTATAATTTGGAGAGAAAAAATGGTTTTGAAATTGTGCAGGGACGATTTTGCCTTTAAATGATGCCTTTAATGGGCGTACTCGACTTTAAGTTTGGTTAATGCACCAATATAATATGCGAATTATTCCCACGAGCCAACTATTTTTACTTTATTTTCATAACTTTAGGCTAAATGATATATTTAAATATTAACTTGCCCTATCATGGAGTAAATAATTTGAGTGGAAAATTAATTATTTAAATGGTGGTGTGATGCTCGCGCAACATCATATTACACAGTGCTAAAACTAAAATTATTCATAATATGAATGAGTTTCGTCATATTATGACGAAATAAACCAAATATTTCTTGTTTGTATGAACTTATCTTTGCATATAATTATTAAGGTATGCTTAAGGCAGTGATATATTTTTGAATATATGGTTTGAATAACTTTTTTAGTTTTTATTTCTAAATATCAGCGACACCTACATTGGCCAGAAAAACTGAGAGCTTTCTAATAAAATTGTACTTATAGGATTTCGTAGTCTCAGTACACATATATATATATATATATATATTGTACATTACTTAAAATAAAAAAAAATAAAAAAAGGAAAAAGTTGTCTACTTTCCTTAATTGAATAGAAGAACAAGACGCAGTAATTAAAAAACTAAGAACTATTTTTTAATTTAATTTCCATTAAAAAAAAAAGGAAAAAATCTATGAAGGAAATAATATGATGGCTGTATTTATGTCTTGAAAGTTATTAAAACAAGATGGGAGGAGAGACAAATACAAGAGTCCACCCGGGTGATCCATGGTCAATAATGAAACTCGCGCTGAGGCGGAGGTTAAACATCTAAAATTCATTAAAGCAGCCAAATACAGGTGCTGGATAAATTTAAATAGCATATATTAATAAACATGTTTAAATATTTACCTAAGACTATAATCATTTGATATTTTCAATATTCAACTCCCACACATTTCTTTAAAAACAAATCATTTCTACATCGATACCTTTGATATATAAATGATAAGTTTTATTGATAATTTAAAATTAAATATGAAAAAAATTGCTAACAAAATTTTCTTAAATTTGAGATTGAGGAAAGCCCCCTCCCTCTCTCCATCATGCCCGGAAGCTTTTTTATAAACTTATCAGCAGCAGAAAGTTTGGCCAGCGGAAATGGAAAATCTCATCATTTAGTATGAAGGTAATAATTGTCTGACAGTTTCTCAGAGAGAAAAAAGAGAAGTCATGAACAGTAAGGGAAATTTTTGTATGAGAATGTTATACTGTACTGATAGAGCTGATTCAAGAAATACCTCGTCAGACAAATACTTTGGGTTATTTACCTCTTTCATATAGAAAAATACGAACATTTCGGCTAAGTAAGATCATTAGCGATAAGATTGTAAAAGAATTTATTTTAGTCTTGAGACTATCCGCAAGGGTCTTGCACAATCTGTTAAACATTTTGAAGGGTTGGATAAACCTATCAAATTCAAAATTATAAATATTTGAGGGAAAAAATTACTTTATAAGCAGCAAGAGAAATGTTTACATAAAAATGTTGATTGTGATGACCCAAAAATAACGTGCCAGGTGGGAAACATTAACATTTGTCTATAATTTAGGTATATGCAGTGGTACCCAGAAAAGGGTTTCATGGCTCAAGTTGCGCCATCAAAATTTTTGAGGGGAGCAAATTTTGACGTGATTATGAGTTTTTGGACTAAGGGACAAGAGGAAAGCCATGGAACATACCGCAGCAAGTATAATTGTACATGATCTAC